CATGTGGTGGCGGCTGCGCTTACCAGCATGGGAAAGACCAAGCTCTGCATCTGCAAGTGCCGAGTAAGACACTGGAGAATCGCATACGGAAATATGGACGTGATCTGCCAAATGGCATATTTTCCGGCTTCCACAGAGATCTCCGGATCTTGGCCGATGAGTATCAGAAGTTTGTCTAAGTAAACCCAGAGAATCGATATTGGTATGCACACCACAAGTAGAGCTATGATTGCCGCATAGGTATATGTTCCCAGCTTGTGGAATTGCTTCGCTCCGAAAGCTTGCCCGCACAGTGTCTCCAACGCACTCGCCATTCCGAACTGCCGGAAAAAATCAAAAATCTCCGGCGAGTTATTTCATCAGCCGATTCAGGAGCAAATAGATTTTTAGAATTAAAAAAATAAATAAATAAATTACTCTACCTTCTTAAGATGCGTCTGGTTCAATTAACGAAATCAAATCAAACACGCAAAAAATCACAACTAAAAAATAATGATGAAATAAATAATTGGTTTGATATAAAAACAGTAAACAAGAAAGGCAAAGTAAGAGTTGATATATGGCTTACTACGACGATGAAGCCGGTGACGTTTGTGAGAGAAGTGGCGATGGCGGCGGCGGAGAGAGAGAGCTCACTGACGTGGCCCAGCATCATCATCGGCAACACCCTCACAAGGTGCTGTGAAACGGTGACCAGCACCATGGGTATCGCTATGCGACTCACCTTCTTCATCTCTTCCATGAAGAACTCCCGTTTCCAATTCGCCGAGCGCGTCTTCTCCGGCAACAGCGCCGCCGTAGCCGTTCCTTCCTCCATCTCCGATAGACACCTACCCCTCTACTAATAAATGTTTTATTTTCTCTCTCTCTCTACGTTTAGCTAACACTTACATATACTATACGAGATGCATAGAGCGTTATGCTGTGATGGTGCACCTCGTTTTGATGTCCAACTTTAAAAAAAAAAAAAAAAAAATCAATTTTGATTGTTGTTAACGGCGTTATATTGTGCATAATTTAAACTATACATGCATAACTTCATAACTATACATTTAGAATTGCATAACTACATATCCATTAACTTCATAATTATACATTTAGAATTGCATAACTACATATCCATTAACTTTATAACTATACATTCAGAATTACATAACTACACATCTATAACTTCATAATTAACTATACATTCAGAATTGCATAATTACACATCCATAACTTCATAACTATACATTCAGAATTGCATAACTACACATCCATAACTTCATAACTATACATTCAGAATTGCATGCATAACTACACATCCATAACTTCATAACTATACATTCAGAATTGCATAACTACACATCCATAACTTCATAACTATACATTCAGAATGTGAAATTATAAAATTATGAATATTGTTTACGTAACTAACGATAATCGAAAATAATTTTATTTTTTTAAAGTAAACCGACGCCATTTTTGCAATCGTGTGCACCATGCATGGTGCACACGCTTGCACAGCATAATTTGCCGAGATGCATGTATATATGCATTCAAAGAAAGAGGAATTCCAATTGTAAACGTCGAATCAAGTCAAATATGTCATTGTTATTCAATTCAAATTCAACTATTTTGAAAATTATTCGTATTCGTATTCAATAAATATTCGAATCTAAAATTTTATTCATATTTGATCCGAATACATTATTCGAATATATTCGCTTAGACTCAAATATTTGAATTAAAAATGTCAAATTTAATTTTTTTACAAGTTCTCTAATAAATTAAAATTAAAATGTAATAAAAATTTATATTTAAATAGCATAAAATTTTCTATTAATATATTATTATACTAATATTCTATTAATATATTAATTTTTAAAGGTTTAATATATATATATATATATATATATATATATATATATATATATATTTGAATATGTATTTGAATATAGTCAAATCAAATATATTCGACTTGGTATTCGAATTTGAATTGAAATATTCGAATTGGAATCATTAATCTAATTAAAAATGTTTGATTTGTTTACCCCTAGACTCACAGGGGTGCTTATATACGCACCAAGGTATTTATATAATTAGGAAAAATTGTCAAATAAGCCAATGAACTTTAGTTGATAGTTGTTAGTGGTTAGATGTTTGTGTTAATTAGAAGGTATAACTAGTTGATAATATTAGTTGATGGTAAAAAAGTGTTTGGTAATTAGTTGTTAGCTGATAGCTGTTTGGTATAATTTCTTTTCTCAAAAAATTAATTGAAAAAGTTTCTTTTAGTAGCTTTTTGAATTTTAACATTTTGGAGTACAAAAAGGCAATTAACCAAACACTTATATTGATTTTTAAACTAAGTCAAACAACTAATAGTGGTCAAATAAGCCAAACATGACTTATAGGTTAACTATTTTACCAAACAGGGCCATTGTGCAATTGAACTATATGGAATAAAAAATTTGTACAATTGGACAATTAAATACTAAAAAAGTGTGCAAATATCATTTTGTACAGGTTACTTCCAATTTTTCCTTAAATATGATGTCATAATGTCACAATATATATATATATATATATAATATTATTTTAATTATTATATTTAAAAATTAAAAGAAAAAAAAAAAAGAAACAATTTTTAAAAAAAAAATTCAGAAGAAGGTGGTTGCATCCACCTTCCTCTACCTCCTTCAATTCCACACAGCCAAACCAACCAACAACACTAAACCAAAAATAAAAAAATTAAATATGATCAGCAGACAGCAGGCCATGTGCCCATGCTTGTTGGTTTGAGGAATTGGAAGAAGAAATATTGAGAAGTTCATACCATCATAAGGAATATAAGATTGCATTTTTTGTTTATCACTGCATGCATGAGAGCGAAGCTTCAATTCATTCTCTGATCTCAACCTATCTTGCTGTTCTCTGCTTTTGATGAAAGGATTTGAATGCCCAGTGATTACATCAACACCTGCTACCAGGCTCGCTGCTCTTATATATCTTGAGTGTGCCTAAACGCAGACCTGGCGATATTTATTTGGAATTGATATTTATTTGGAGTCTCAAAAAATAATTTATTTGGATATAAAGACTAAACCAAGGATTTTGATAGAGTTTAGGAGACAAAGAATCCATATAGTTATAGTGTCCGATCCCCAACTAGATTGGGATTAAATACTCTGATCTTCATTCAGGGCAGTTGTATAAATAAATATAATTGTTGATTGCTGAAACTGAATGTCAACCTCTTCTTGGGATACTTGTGCTTTTAAAATCTTTAGATGAGTAACACTTGTGTGAAACCGACTCACGAGTCTCAATCTGTGAGACGGGTTGAATCTTTGATTAATTAGTTTGGATTATGAAATATGAACAGACGTTGTGTTTCTTGGGCGGGAATTAATCTTTTGTTTGGTGGACTGCATGCCAGGAAAAATGGACAAAGAATCTATATCTTGTTTGTGTGTGCTATGGACGAACAGTATGCTGAACAGCGGAATCTGACCTTCACTGGATGGGCATTCAAATCCTTTCATCAAGAGCAGAGAACACCAAAATAGGTTGAGACTTGAGAGAAAGTGATAAACAAATACAATCTTATATTTCTTATGGTACTATAAACTTCTCAATCTTTCTTCTTTATCAAACCAACAAGCATGGGCACATGCAATGGCCGCCTGTGATCATATTTTGTTATTTTTTATTTGAGTGTTGACGTGTTGTTGGTTGATTTGGCTGTATGGAAGGAGGTAGACGAACCACCTTCTTCTGAAATTTTTAAATGAGAAATATAAAAAATAATATTTTTTCTCCCTGAATTATATATTTATAGCATATTTTTCTATAAAAGTGGGATGGGCAAGGTGAAACATTGAAATTGAAGGAGCATTGTGCTCCCTTTTATAAGGGAGTCAACGCCCCTTTTTTTTATTTAACTTTCAATGTGGGATCTAATCCCACATCTTTTTTATTTTATTATTACTATTATACTTTTTTCGTCATTTTACATGATAACCGCTAATCTAAACTGCTGATTTTATCAAACACTTTTTTACAAACCGCTGATACAATCTGCTGGTCAAACCAGTTAATACAATCCGCTACCACTAACCGCTGATTGTCAAACAAGCCCATCATATTTAAGGGAAACTTGTAAACAACCTGTCAAAATGCTATTTGCACAATTTTTGAGTTTTTAATGGTCCCGCACACTTTTTTTTTTTATGGTTCAATTGTACAATATGTAGAAGTTCAGTGACCTATTTGACACTTTTTCCATATAATTATATAAAAGATAATTTTTACCTTGAGAAATAACAATTTTCTTTTCAAATTTAGGTATCCGTCCCGTTTTATATTAGTCGACAACCATATTAAATCTAACTAATATTTTCACTCGTGCGATGCACGAAATGGATTTGTTGTAATATATTAAAAATATTTGAATTGATATACAATTATTTAAATTAAAACATCAAATATTATATAATGCAATTAAAGATATGGTTTTGATCGTTTATGTATTTTGATGTTATCATTGCTTGAATTTGTGCAAAATAATTGCTCAAATTAATAACTAATGTCTAAATGTACACATGCGGTGCTATAACTTTGAAAATTTATTTATCATTGCTTAGTATTTTCATAAATTAGGCAAATGTATGTGCTCGTTCTTTAACAACTCAATTATAAGAATTAATTGCTATCATAATTCATTTGTATGGAAGATATATTTTTTTGTCTAGATATATAGCAATTTTTCCATTTAAAAAAATATAATATCACCGATTATATTTACACATTATTGAAATTTAAAGATTGAATTATTTTTGTTTTGGATGATAAAGGAAACATGTAACAACTATTGTCTTAGGGAAGGTGTGCTAGGAAAGTCCCCTCATGTGTAATAGCTCCTAAATCATATAAAAAAAAAAGATAAATTGTACAAAAAAAAATCATGTGCAACAAATTCATCGGAGATGATATAACAAGTACGGATATGCTAATAGACTATATATAGTGACTTTAATTATAATTAAAAAAAAATTAGTTGCAGTATATCATAGTGAATAAAAAAATAAGAGTACATCTAGAATTACTAATTTGAAATACATGAAATGCTTTTCTCTTTCTTGAATATAGAGGTATATCTTCATCTGAAGATGCCATACGTTTGATTTTGCTTAATCAACGATGAGTCTTTCACTGGAGCCCTGACACATTAGCCTTTCCTTGGCAATTGCAGCCTGTACGTGATTATACCCACACAGCAAAATATGAGATCAGTTTGAAGTAAAACTCAAATTCTTTCTACATTTGATCAATTCAAACTAAGAAGATCTTGTCACTTCCACCAAGATTAGAGTCTAATTTGTAACTTTGTAATTATCAAACTAACAGTTTAACTAACTTGACTGGATCAAAGTAAAACTCAAATTGGATGCGAAAGAAAATATAATGAAAAAAGTATATGGCATAACCTGCTTTTCCCAATCGGTGAAAATGGTTATGAGCAAGAACACAATCGTTTGGAGTATAGATGCGACGTTGAGTCCCAACCAAAGCCCCATTCCTCCTAAACCAACCCAAAAACCCAACACCACAGACACCGGCACTCCCACCAGATAATATGCCGCCAGATTTACATAAGCTCCCAGGTCCTGCCACCCGCTTCCTCTTGCCACCCCTGCAAAACGTACACACAACATAACGAGAAAAACTCACAGATATTATTTGAGATGGTGTCCTGGATAAACTTCCTCTTATGACTCTTATGATTCTAGCTAGTTGATAAGATGGACAAACCAGAAATAACTCCTTGGGTTCCATCTGTCAAGAACATGACACTGATAAGAGGGCTCATCTTTCTTATATATTCCACCACCTCTTCCTCGGCGCTGAATGCATAGCCCAGAATATTGCCGCAAGCCAAGACAGCTATGCTCGCCACAAACATCTCCGCAAATCCTAGAACCATTACTGCCCAGGTTGCCATTTTAGCCGTTTCTGGGTTGCCCGCTCCTAGCTCGTTTGATATCCGGGTGCTACAAAAAATGGTATATGGATTAGCATATATATATATATATATATAAAGCTTAATTAGGAGGTAGCAACGACTTTACCTTGCGCCAGCACCTACAGAAAATGGTATGTAGAAGTGCAGTGAAATAACCATCAGGCTGTAGGAAATTAAACACCCAATAATCAGTTTTTTCATTTAATCTAATTATATATATGTGTGTGGGCGCACGCCCGAGAATAAGTTCATACCATATGGAAAGCACAGAGGTCTGGAGTTGAGGATTTGGCAGTAGACCTCCAAGCAGTACAATTACTTCAAATGTCCACATCTCTAGGCTACAAACGTCAAAGATAAGGTAAGACTAACATTATCCCAGTCAATAATGTACTTATTTGCATAATGATTTGACATGTCGCATGAATATTTTTTTATTTTTATTTTTTTATAATCCTAGGTGTATAGTAAGCTTGTAAGGACTGTCATTCCGGTTGCGTTTTTGTACTTTATTTAGTTTTATAACGACAGCTTTTGGTAGCAAAAGCTGCCGTAAAATTGTAATTTTTTATTTCTTTTTTTATTATTCTATTATTATATATAATATAAAATGAAAGTGAGGTTCATTTTTTAAAGTGTGAAAGATTTACAAAGATAATAAATAGTTGAGAATTTTTAAATTTGATGATGTAAGAATGAGACTCATCTTAAAAAGTGGGAGTGATTTACAAGGATAAGGATAGCTAAAGTGATTTATCTCCCAGAATGGTTTTCTGGGGATTTTTTAAAATGCAGAAATTAGGAGGAAATTTTTAGCAAATAAAAATAAACAAAGTAGCTAGCTTACCAAGACATGCTGGAAGACGGCACGGCAAATCGGAAAAACTCCCCCATGCGAGAACAAAGGTCCTCCCACAAGCAACTACGAGTGTTTTCGCAGGATGCAGAAAACATCATGTACAAAGCTAGCAGAGCGGCGTTGAACCAGTACGACAACCCGACCGACAATGCGCCGCCGACGATACCTAAGTTGAACCAGAACACTAAAGCCCAGCAAACCACGATATGGAAACATGTGGTGGCGGCTGCGCTTACCAGCATGGGAAAGACCAAGCTCTGCATCTGCAAGTGACGAGTAAGACACTGGAGAATCGCGTACGGAAATATGGACGTGATCAGCCAAATGGCATATTTTCCGGCTTCCACAGAGATCTCCGGATCTTGGCCGATGAGTATCAGAAGTTTGTCTAAGTAAACCCAGAGAATCGATATTGGTATGCACACCACAAGAAGAGCTATGATTGCCGCATAGGTATATGTTCCCAGCTTGTGGAATTGCTTCGCTCCGAATGCTTGCCCGCACAGTGTCTCCAACGCACTCGCCATTCCAAACTGCCGGAAAAATCAAATATTCAGAGATTAACGAAATGAAATCATACGCAGAAAAATCAAGACCAAAAAATACTAAAGAAAGTAATGATGAAATAAATAATTGGTTTTATATAAAAAAACAGTAAACAAGTAAAATAAGAGTTGATATATGGCTTACTATGACGATAAAGCCGGTGACGTTTGTGAGAGAAGTGGCGACGGCGGCGGCGGAGAGAGAGAGCTCACTGACGTGGCCCAGCATCATCATCGGCAACACCCTCACAAAGTGCTGCGAAACGGTGACCAGCACCATGGGTATCGCTATGCGACTCACCTTCTTCATCTCTTCCAAGAAGAACTCCCGTTTCCAATTCGACGAGCGCCTATTCTCCGGCAACAGCGACTCCGTCGCCGTTCCTTCCTCCATCTCCGACACACACCTAGCCATTCTACTAATAAATGTTTTTATTTATTTTCTCTTTCTCTTTCTACGTATAGAGAACAATTACATACTATACGAGATGCATTTATTTATGCATGCAAAGAAAGAAGAGTCCCAGTTGTAAATGAATTTAATTGTGTGAAATATCTTATTATTCCATTAGAATTCAACTATTTTGAATAAATAGTTGAATTTAAAATTTTATTCTTCTTCCAATGTATTCGAATATATTCGACTAGAATATTCGAATTCAAACTGTCAAACTTATATAGTACAACTCTAAAAGCACAATGTACAAAATAATTAGCATTAAAAACGTGAACATAAATGAGGGATATAATTTTAATTGAGGACTTATTATGTTTTTAGATATAAAAGATAATTTTTACATTGAGAAATAACATTTTTCTTTTTGAATTTAGGTATCTGTCGCGTTTTATATGAGTCCACAATGGCATTAAATCTAATACTCCCTAGTTGGATAAACTTTGCTGCTTAGGTAGACTCTTAATTAAATTACCTAAATGGGGTGCACTTACTAATTTTCCATTAATTAAAATTAGATTATTTTGGGCATTTAATTCAAATATAGAAATAGTAATTGAAATAAAATAGTTAGTAATTGTAATGAGTTTTAGTAAATATATTAGTAAATATATAATATTTTCTGTTTTGGTAGTAAAAAAGTATTTTGAATAAAAAAATAATTACTTAATCAAAAATAAAATAAATAATATATAAATAGTTAAAGAGTTAATATTCAAAATTGTCCTCGACTATAGTGGTTTTTCTCAATTTCGTCCTAAACGACTTTGGTGACCTAATATAGTCCCAGACTTTTGTGTTTCGCTCAATTTAGTCTTCCGTTTGTTATTCTGTCAAATTGGTGTTAAATAAAGGGACAATTCAATAATATCAATATTTACCTCTCTTTACTTTCAACCTGAGAAGTGAGAAATCTCTCTTTCTTACACGAATTACACCCAGAGTTACTTTCAGACCTACGAATCAAATTTTACTCCCAGAGTTACTCTCAGACCTGTGAGTAATTCGTAAAAAAAGAGGGATTTCGCACTTCACATGTCTATGAATAAAGAGATGCCAATATTCAAATTACTGAATTGTCTATTTATTTAACAACAAATGGACGGAATAACAAATGGGGGACTAAATTGAGCAAAAACACAAAAGTCTGGGACGAAATTGAGTAAAAACACAAAACTCTGGGACTACATTGAGTCACTAAAGTCGTTTAGGACAAAATTGAGAAAAATCACTATAGTCGAAGACGATTTTGGGTATTAACTCAATAGTTAAATACGTATGTAAAAATATAGAATACATATACATACACACATATATGTATATACATCTATTAAAGTATTTAAATTATTATTGTTATTTTATGTCGTCTGTCCACATGTGTCTTAATCATGCTATTACTTGCGTTATTCTTGGGGTCGGGTACAAATTTAATACTTCTGATTAATTTAGAAGACACATTGCATATCTCATGTCATCCACAATATTAATGGAGAAATGCCAAATAATCCCTTTATTAGAAGGAATTATTGTGAAATTAAGCTCCGAACTAAAACATACGTACTTCATTAAAACTCCTTTAATTGATAAAACTGTGAAAATCAATATTAAACCAAAATGACTTGTTTAAAAGATTGGTCTCTTTGTCCCCTTTTGTAACAAAGGGGTCATTGGATATTTGGATGGCCTGCCTTCATTATGTAATTAAAAGTGAAAAATAATGAACGTTAATTACCTTGTATGGATATATATAATGACGAAACATTATGGACAATGAATTTAATGCTCTCCTCCAGTTAGATATGTCGTTTTGTTCCTCACCGTGCTGGAATGAATGTAGTTGAGTGCAAATGGATATTCCGTACTAAACGAAAGACTGATGGTTTTATTGAGCGGCACAAGGCGTGACTGGTGGCCAAGAGGTTTAATCAAGTGGCTGGACATGACTTCTTTGACACAGCCAGTCCGGTGGTGAAACCGACTACTATTGGACTTCTGTTGTCACTGGCTCTGTCTTTTGGATGGGTTATTCGCAGTTTGATGTTCACAATGCCTTTCTGAATGACAACTTGGTTGAGACAGTATATATGCAACAATTGACTGGTTACGCTGACAAAGAGTACCGTAATCATGTTTGTCTGTTGCAGCGCTCTCTATATGGTCTTAAACAAGCTCCCTAAGCTTGGTTTAACAAGCTTCAAGCATTTCTCACCTCTGTTGGTTTTCGGGCTTTAAAAACGGACGTTTCTTTATTTATCTATTTGCAGGCCTCTTCAACTGTCTACTTGCTAGTTTACGTTGATGACATTTTTGTCATGGGAAATGATTCAAGGTTGGTTTCTGCGTTGCTAGCTGAGCTCTTTATGGTTTTTTAAGGTACGTGATCTTGGTGCCCAAGGGTTCTTCCTAGGTATTGAGACAGTGCAACTTGGTGATGGTATATATGTTATTCTCTCAACGTCGCTATATGGCTAATATATTGAAGCGTGCAGGCATTGTTGATTGCAAACCGCTGGCAATCCCCATTATAGTGTCACGTCCCATGGCTACTACGGCAGAACCTTTTTCTAATCCCACGCAATACATGAGCCTAGCTGGGGCTCTATAGTACTTGACGGTAACACATCCCGATCTATCCTTTCTTGTCAACCATTAGTGTCAGCACATGCATGCTCCGTCTGTGCTCATTGGACTTAGCTGAAACAAGTACTGTTGTATGTTAAAGGCACCTTAATTACATTATGGATTCCGTCTATATAAATCCTTTTCAACTGATAGCCTGACTGCCCCACTGCTCAGAAGTCCACTAGTGGCTTCACGGTGTTATTTGGCTCTAATTTGATTTCGTTGGTGTGTTGGAAGCCGCACACGCGGTTCCCAGATCTTCTACGGAGACAGAATACAAGGCCTTAGCGAATGTTTGTGTGGAAGTAACATGGATTGTTTCACTGTTGCGTGAGACGGGTGTCGGTACGGCGCCAGTGCCAACGCTGTGGTGTGGAAACCTCGGTGCAAGTTATATATGTGCAAATCCTGTGTTTCATGAACGCACAAAACACGTGGAGATTAATTACCATTTTGTTTGGGATAAGGTGGCTTATGGGGAACAATTCAGATAAACTTTATTTTGACAAAATATCCTGGCAAATATCTTTACCAAACCACTTTCAGCTTAGCTGGTTGCAGCTCTACGAGACAAGTTTCAGGTTGTTGGCCCAACAGGAGCTTGCGAGGGACGGTTAAGACTAGCAATACTAGTTGTAGTATAATACTTCCACATGTATATATATTTGTATTGTATCCTGAATATGTTGATTTTTCACCCTAATCCCTGTCAAGTACGTTACATTAAATTGTATGATAATCTCTTTCCTAGTTGGCTACTCCGATCCTTGATGAGCAGACAGGGAGAGTGAAGAAATATCCATGAATTGAAAGTGACTTGAGAATACAAAGGAAATCTGAACTCATCACTACAGTATTTTATCCTTGGACACAACTAGATAAGAGCATCCTTATCAGTGGAGATATTAAGAGTGATTAGGAAAGAGAATGTGGGAGGGGAGAGAAAAAAAAAAAGATAAAACAAAAACTGATTTTAAAATAAAATAAATAAATATAATAACTATAGTCAGGCGCGCTTGGAGCGCCCAGCGACCCGCTGAGTGCACTCGTGACGGCCACGATTGGCTATCATGTTTGGTTGCATTTCTACTGAGTCCCACAATGCTCCCATTCTCCTAACTCTTGCAGTGCTTCCCAAATTTCTCTCTCCACTCCCTCTCTCATCATGTCAACATTAAATATATTAAAAGTATCCTATTCTCTCCACTTGCTCCCCTAGTGTGAATGTTCTAAGAGAAAAAGTCTGGTCTGATCCTTCCGCAGCCATGAAAGGACCTTCCTGTCCCGGTTCATTGTTTGGAAAATTAAAGTTGATGAAAAGACCAGAAGCAATATTAATGGCAACAAATTAAAGGTGGTCGTCTTTCATTCATGGCCACTTGACTTGTATCCTGTATGGAAAGCTCTCTTCTAGTTACAAGACAAATAGAAGAGTGCCGTGACGGGTTTAATGTTCTCGCTCGTTCACTGCATTATTATCTTTTGAAATGAAGTATCTTGATATTACGCCATCACTTGTGATTGCACCATGCGAATCATGTCGCTGTTTTCCAGATTTAATTAAGGTTTTCTTGCACGAATTGACCAAGTGGATGCTTCAATTCTAGTCCTAATTAAAAGATAACATGCTCAATTTTTGTAAATATTTTTAAAGTGTTGCGATTTATCTCTTTGGTGTGTTATAACTTATAACACTGGAAAGTGGGAATACTTTACCTAGTGTCAAGTTATGCAATCACTATTGTGTGGACCATATTTTATATATGTAAAATAATATACATTCAGTACAAAAATAATGTACTTTTAGTATATTAAAAATGTACATTATATTCAGGGAATGTACATTATTTGTATACTGAGTGTACATTATATTGTATAATGTACATTCAGTACACAAATAATGTACATTTAGTATATTAAAAATGTACATTTTGTTATGCTCCACACAATAATTTTCCCAAGTTATGACTTTAGGTTTCTGTTATAATAATAATAATAATAATAATAATAATAATAATAATAATAATAATAATAAAAATAAAAAAGCTATATGGTCTTGTGAAAATTGAATGTTGCATTTAATTTTCACAAGACCATATGACTTTAAGATGTGAAAGTCTTGTGAAAATTACTTTAAGATGTGAAAATTAAATGCAACATTTAATTTTCACATCTTAAAGCCATATCAATCGTTATGCTATGCATCCGTATGCACCATGCATGGTGCATACGGATGCCAAAACGACGTCATTTTATTAAAAAACGTGCGTCGTCTCTCCTTTAAAAAAAATTCAAGTTCGATTCCCAGCAACAACATTATATTGTTCATTCATTCTGAAATTTTAGTTCATAGATTATGGAATTATAGTTCATTGATTATGGAATT